GGAGTACAAGGCAGCCAAGGCGATACAGGATTACCAGGTATTTGTTTCAGTTTTTTATTAGGCAAACTGAAATTGTTCCTCTCTCGTTATTTTTTTTTCCGAGTAGTAGCATTGACGATTTTCAGTTCTCATTGCCATTAAGCTTTCTATCGTTACATTCATTAGCGAGTCCTGTCGCACTTTTGCCAGCTAACATTTTTAGCGAATTTATGGAAAAGCACTTTTGGAAGCATTCGTTCTTTAAAAAAAACAGCGCACATCAACTGAAGGTAGCGCTCTTGTGCGAAAAGAAATTTGCTAGCAAAAACTGTTGATCGAAACTGTGAGAATCTTTTGTCCCGTCTAATCGTGAACGGAGCTCCTTTTTCAAAGGTGTGAGTCATAGACACTTATGACTTGTTAGCCATTACATTACTAATTTTTGCGCTTAGCGTTTGGAAATCAAAACATTTTAACCAGTATATACATTCCGTCCACGTACACTGTACGATGTCTGCTACTAATACCAAAAACAGCAAACATTTTTCCGACTTTTCGTAGTATCAACGTTTTTGGCGAACGACTTGAAGTACAGTTATTAATTTACCTCAAAATTTTTGCAAGGTGCGCGTGGACTACCAGGTGTGCAAGGCCCTCCTGGGCAGGATGGTCAAGTATTTGTTACGAGAAAAGGAGCGCCTGGAATAGCTGGACGTCCGGGATCGGAAGGAGCACCGGGTGAACGTGGACCACCTGGCAGAGATGGTACAGAAGGAGCGGAAGGTGCACGTGGCCCCAAGGGACGTGACGGGAAACCAGGCAGAGATGGTCTTCCAGGAAAGGCAAGTCCTTAATTCCTTCAATTTTCTTTTAATTTTTAAATATTTCAATTGTACGCCTAACTGCAATTAAGTTGATTGCAGTCATGCGGTACTTTTTTTTAGGTACAGAAGTAAATGTTACACGGACTATTTGTAAGAAAATATTGCCTAATTTTAATTAATTTAATTGAAATTGCACGTTTAATTCGAGTTTTCCCTCATTTTTCTCATAAATAAATATAGATATTTTAGTAATATATTTATATCATTCTAATTAAATCATTGTTAATTAACTAGTAGTTTTTCTATAGTGATACAAATAAGTCCAACTGTAAAATATGCTGTTCTTAATAAAATTATATAATATTTTTTTTTTCTTTCTTCTCCCCCCTTTACTCTATGAATCATAATATAATTTGCATTCTTTCGTGTTCACGGCTTTTCTACATTTTCATCCTTCTCATTTTTTTTTACACTCTTAAAAACCTAATTCCACATTCGTACCTTTTGTCCCATTTTCCTCCTATTT